GTAAGGAAGCATATACCAGGGTAAGGATACTCGTACCAGAGTAAGGTAATTTATACCAGGGTAGGGATGCAGATACCAAGATAAGAATACTCCTACCAGGGTAAAAGTGCCTATACTAGATATAGGATTTTTATACTAGGATTAGGATAATTATACCAGGGCAAAGAAATGTATACCCGGGTAAGGGTACTTATACCAGGGTAAGGATTCATATACCAGGGCAAGGGTATTTCTACTAAGATAAGGATATTCATACCACGAAAAGGATACGTATACCAGGTTAGTGATACGTATACCATGGTAAGGATGCTATTACTGGGGTAAGGGTACTTGTACCAGGATAAGGGTACTTCTACTAAGATAAGGATATTTATACCAGGGCAAGGATACTCCTACCAATAAAAGGATACTTTTTTTTTTTTTAAAGTAACAGTTATTTTTAGTTGAGCCCAATAAGATTTTAAAATTACAGTCACATATCTAAAGATCTTCTTTAAAAATGTGGTATATATCTATATAAAATGTATGGACCCGGGGGGGTTATCATATTTTTATTATTGTTGTTGTTATAATTAATATCCTTCATGTTCTTGTGTAAAGGGGAAGCTTTGCTTTCAATTAGCACTATTTGGGTTTCCTCCAGAACAACCCCCGCTTGTTAGAATAACATTTTTTGCATTTTTCTTTTACAAGTGCGAGCCGCGAGCGCCTTCCAAAGACAACAAACCCACACAGGATCTTGTGTATCGGCTGTCTTGGCACGCCAAAAAGAAACTGGCTGGAAGGAAAAAAAAGAGAGATATGCTCAAGGAAAGGCGCGCAGTTTTTTTTGTGGTGGGAGGGGGCTGTTGGAACACAGGTGTAAACTTTAATCCGCATGTCAAATCAAATGAATGAATAATGTGGAATCAGTACATGTTTAGGGAATGGCTACAGCTGCGCTCGCATGTAAATTGTCACGTACCATTGGCCATGAAACGCTTCATTGGCGCAAACGTTTAGCGCTTCATGAGCGTGAAGGTAAATCAGGCCACCAACAGATAAAATGTTGGACAGCATTGCAGAGAGTTGGTTTAGGGAGAACCGATCATGTTGGGGAGCGAGCGGTATTTGCGTATTCCTTCTACGTTTATCTTCATTCTACAGGGGACCACTAATGAAGAATGATTATTTATCACCAAATTTAGCTTGAGGTCATGTAAACGTAACCGTGGCTGCGGGAGCGAGAGAGAGCTGAGCGCCCCCTGAGATTTGGCAGTTGCTACGCTAGCAACCTACTGGCATCATCGTGGGTACCGCACACTGCCCCACAGAATCAAATACGAGCCCTATAGTTAGGAGGAATCTAGTAGGAAGCAACACTCTGTTATTGACACTTTCATGCATACGCAGGAGCTGGGAGACAGCATGCATGCTTGCTTTCTCTGTCCTGCTTGTGCTTTCTACCCCACTCTCTCGCTCTCTTACTCTTTCCTGTTCTATCTCTGTCCAACTTGTGTTCTCTCTCCATCCCGCTTGCTTACTCTCCCTTCCAATCCTCAATCAGTCTCTCCATCCAGTAGTATATCCTGCTCACTCACTCTCTCTATCCAGCTCTCTATATCCCACTTGCCCTCTCTGTATCCTGCTCTCTCTTTATACCACACGCTCACTCTTTCTCCCACTTTCTTTCTTTATCCCGCTGACTCTCTCTCTCCTGCTTGCTTGCTCTTCCTCTACCCGCTCTCTCTATCACTCTATCCAGCTCGCTTGCGTGCTCTCTCTCCATCCATCTCTTTCTCTATCCAGCTTGCTCAGGCTCTCTCTATCCAGCACTCTCTCTCTATCCAGCTCGCTTGCTCTCTCTCTATCCAGCTAGCTTGCCTGCTCTCTCTCTATCCAGCTTGCGCTCTCTATCCCATTAGTTCTCGCTTTCTGTCCCGCTCTCTCTCTATCCCGCTCTCTCAATATACAGCTCGCTCATGTGCTCTCTAGCCAGCTGGCTCGCGCTCTCTCTCTAGCCAGCTGGCTCGCGCTCTCTCTCTAGCCAGCTGGCTCATGCTCTCTCTCTAGCCAGCTCACTCTCACTCTCTCTATCCAGCTGAGCTCACTTGCTCTCTCTGTCCTGCTCTCTCTTTCTATCCCGCTCGCTTGCATTCTCCCTCTTTCTATCCCGCTCACTTGCATTCTCTCTCTCTTTCTATCCCGCTCACTCACATTCTCTCTCTCTCTTTCTATCCCGCTCGCTTGCATTTTCGCTCTCTCTCTTTCTATCCCGTTCACTTGCATTCTCTCTCTCTCTTTCTATCCCGCTCGCTTGCATTCTCTCTCTCTCTCTCTCTCTTTCTATCCCGCTCACTTGCATTCTCGCTCGCTCTCTTTCTATCCCGCTCGCATGCATTCTCTCCCTCTCTTTCTATCCCGATCGCTTACATTCTCGCTCGCTCTCTCTACCACTTGTTCACTCTAGCTCTCTCATTTTCCGACTTTCTAGCTTGCATGCGCTATCTTTTGTTGATTTGCTCTCTCTATGTCTCTTGCTCTATATCTTGCGGTATTTTGGGTGGGTTGAGCTGCAGTTTTCTATTAGGCCTCTGGAGTTTTTTTAGAAATGCAATGCTTCCAAACCTCAGGCCAATGTGCACTCTGATGTGACCCGTCCCGATAAATCAGACTTGTGCACCTTACCGTGGATATTTTCCCCACAGATTTCACAATAAAAGCTACCACAGTAACTACAGTATAAGGAGACGTGACCCGCCCTCACGGGGATCGCCATTTTTTTGGGGGGAGGAAACTGATTTTTCGGCCGTCGGAGTCGCGACCTCGTGCCTCCGCGGTTGCCTTCCCCTCTGATGTCTATAAACTCAATTAGGAGAGCTCATCCCCCATTAACTGCTCCGCTTTTCACCACCATTCTTCATGCGGTCTGTAGCGGCTCGCATTATACGCGAGCTAGGCGCCCCAGATAGCCGCAGGGCCATTATCCTATCAAAAGCCGGATGACATCGTCGCGCTGGAGGTCTCTGTTGTCCCCTTTATGTCTAATGAATAGTGTGGAGACCCCCTGAGGGGGGCCGAAGATTGCAGCGGCGACGGCGTATCTGATTACATTATCCTCACCCCGCCGCTTATCGCATTATCACAGAAGAATATGTGGACGCGAGGAAAGTCGCTGGCGGCGGAGACTTTTGTGGCAGAAAAAGTTATAGCTCTTGGCGTCCGCAGCTGCCGTTCTGAAAGGTCACAGCCTGATACCGATACATTAACGTGGAAATCTTTTATTTGAAGTATTACCGATGAGGAAAGGAACAATAAAAGCACAATGAGAAACTACAGCGACTGTGCGGAGCATACCCTTGTTTATGGAGAATTTACACAAAAGTAACAATTTGCTTTCTTGCCTTCACCTGGCTGTGTTGCTGGATTTTTTCACACTAGAAAGTGAAATCGGCTTCTTTGAATGACTGCTGAGATAAAATCAACCACAGGACAAGCCATTGCAGACCTGGGAACCCCTCATAACGGGCACAGCAGGTGTACAGACCCGGGAACTCAGCACAGGGATGGTGGGAGCTCCTCATAATGGGCACAGCGGGTGTTCAGACTCAGGAACTCAGCACAGGGATGGTGGGAATGACTCATAATGGGCACAGCGGGTGTACAGACCCGATAACTCGGCACAGGGATGGGGGGATCCCCTCATAATGGGCACAGCAGTTGTACAGACCCGGAACTCAGCCCAGGGATGGTGGGAGCTCCTCATAATGGGCACAGCAGGTGTACAGACCCGGGAACTCAGTACAGGGATGGTGGGAGCTCCTCATAATGGGCACAGCGGTTGTACAGACCCGGGAACTCAGCACAGGGATGGTGGTAGACCCTCATAATGAGGACCTCATTATTAATTTTTTCTTCCTCTCAATTACAAACCTTTGTGGAATCAGTCAGATGGATGTATTTAGCGTCTCTCCCTTCATTTTCCTCGGTGTCACAGAAACAAAACTGAATCTCTGTAATATACAATGACTAAACACGTCATTCAACCCACTTCCTATAAGCCCAGGTCACCCCGGATCATCACCACTCTGTGACTGGACAGTGAATGGAGATGCAATATAGTGACGAGCTCATCTCTCTGTCACTCTGCTCTCTCCTCCTCCTGTCAGCATGCTTCTGGCCAGCACATGAACTGATTGGCTCCTTGTGCTGCTTCTTCCTCTCACACCCCAGCCCTGCTCGAGGCTGATGCTACGTGAAATCCAGGTACTTGCACTGCTTGCATATATAAAAGATAAATGCATTGATGACAGAGCTGCAATCATTTGTGTCTTTTATATCGGCCTGGAGTTCAGCTTTACAATCCAGAGTCAGCAGAGCAGTGAAAGCTAACTTCTGATTGGCTGGCACGGGCTACTAGGCCTGTTGGGCAACGCCGCCAGGGTTTCCATTGGTTGTCTGGTCATCTTATCGTTAGCTGGTGCGTTGTGCGGTGCAGGAAATATCCCAGCAGCGCTGTGTCCATCTCCACAGCAGAGCCTGCAGCTACAAGGAATTGGACGTCGGGGTGTCTAATCTGCAGAGCGAACCTCGATGATGCAGGATGACATAACACCGGCCTTATTATAGACGGAGCTGGAACACTGACTCCAGGCTTACATGTGCTCCTTCCATTCAGCCGGTTCCCCCGAGGCTGAAACGCTGCAGAGCCACACATCTGCTCCCATCTGAGAGCCATGAAGAAGAACTCCGCTGTATGCAAAGCCATTTGATGAAGGCTACGTCCGTCATTGCATCCTCTTAAAGGATCACTCCACTCAAAAGTGACGGCTTAGGTTCTAGTCCGAGCCTGGTTGGCTGCGTCAGCCTCTGATTCTTTACATGTCTTAGAGAACCCAACAGCGGGATCTCTCTGCCGTGATTCGGGACTCTGTTTCTGCTCACCTGGGAGTTTTGGGTGTTCCCGGCTCCTCCTCTTACATTAGGGATGGTAGGAGATCCTCATAATGGGCACAGCAGGTGTTCAGACTCAGGAACTCAGCACAGGGATGGTGGGGGCCCCTCATAATGGGCACAGCAGGTGTACAGACCCGGTAACTTGGCACAGGGATGGCGGGGTCCAGACCCGGGTGTCAGGCTCGTACCATCATTTTCAGGTGACAGGTTCTCTTAACCAGCAGCCCAGCAATCCTCTGAGCAGCATTCATGAATGTCCTCTGTTTATATTAATTACGCTCTTTAATGATTATTAGGGTATGAATCCTCCTAGGTCTCTGTCACACATATTCCCAGATTTGCCTCCTTAATGAGGCCGTGGCGATAAAACCGTTATTTGAGGTTTGTGCCGCCTCGCTCCTCATATATACGAAGACGCCGCCTAATTGCTAAATTAAATATTTCACATCAGATTCCGGCTAGATGTTCCTGGCGGCTAATAATTAAAATAGATCGCCTGCCTGTGACGCGATTGGTGAGCGCGTGCGGGGATTTCTCCGAGCTTTGAAGGTTGGGGAGATGCAGGGAAGGAAGACGCTCTGTGGTGCCGCGCCGAGATTAAAGCGGTTTATGGGGAATGCGTCTGAGCATGCGTTTTCTGGAGGCCCCGTGCGGGGAAAATTGATACACTCAGTTAATCAGCAATCCTGGTAACAGTTTTGCACAAGGCCCCCCACATCAAGAACTGTGACTACTGTCGATACCTTAAAGCAGGGGGGGGCAACTCCGACCCTCCAGGTGTGCTTTAACTACATCATGCTTCTACCCTTGGGAGTCATGCTTGTGGTTGTCAGTCTTGCAATGCTTCATGGGAATTGGAGTTCCACAACAGTAGTAGGGCCGGAGTACAGGGATTGTCACGTATATATGGTGGTATGGTACAGCGAGTGTCACGTATATGGTGGTATGGTACAGCGAGTGTCACGTATATGGTGGTATGGTACAGCGAGTGTTACGTATATGGTGGTATGGTACAGCGAGTGTCACGTATATGGTGGTATGGTACAGCGAGTGTCACGTATATGGTGGTATGGTACAGCGAGTAGTGTATTGGAGTAACACAGTATTGGAGAAGTATTGAGGAGTAGTGTATTGGAGTAACACTGTATTGGAGTAGTATTGTATAGAAGGAGTAGTGTATTGGAGTAACACTGTATTGGAGTAGTATTGTATAGAAGGAGTAGTGTATTGGAGTAACACTGTATTGGAGTAGTATTGTATGGGAGTAGTAGTATATTGGAGGAGTAGTAGTATTTCAGAGTAATATTATACTCCAGTTGTGTATATATATATTATATGATAATAATCAGAAAGTTCGGAAGATTGCTGCGCAGTATTTCCCCAGTTCTGCGAACTCGCCGCAACCCGAAATCTTTCAGCCGCCTTCTAACAATCTTGTAAAGGTTTGAACTCCTTAACTAAACGCGGCGAATTATGTAACTGGGTCATTTTAATGATGTGGGGCTGACAGACAGATCCTCCGAAATGACGGGCTTTTTGTTTCACACCTGACGAGTGATAATTATCTGCTTCCAATCTGTCACAATGTATCCCGCCTGACGAGATAAATACTTTCAATCTTTGATCTCCCATCATGTAAGATGAATTATTCCATGGAAATAGACCGGTTCTCTTTAACTCTACACTCCAGACTTGAGTTGTAACGCTTTGTATAAAGTCAACCTTTCGGTAACTTTTACGGATTCGTATGAACAAACTCCCGGCATGTTACAATGACACAGCAGTGATACAATGTTTCCAAAAACTTCCACCTTTTATTATTTACCGAGTTCCTGCGCTACTGTCCAGTGGCCTTGCCTTGGCTGGGATGATGGCATCAGTCTCCTGCAGGCAGAGAAAGCATTTCCTCAGTCTCTCCCCCCCCCCAGCGATTAGACTATACTTTGTACAGCCTGTGACTGGACAGTGAATGGAGAAGCAGCAGACTGATGAGCTCATCTCTCTATCACTCTGCTCTCCCCTCCTATCAGCACTGCAGCACAACTGATTGTCTCCTTCCCCTGCTGTGCAAGGGCTGATACCACGTCAGATTCAGGTACGCGCACAGCTGACACTTCATGATATAATAATACAGAAATAATTTGTATCTTTTATATTTGCCCGGTGTTCAGCTACAATAATAGCTCCTGAAGATTCCTGTAGCTCTTCCAACCAATCTTCCGGTCCTCACTTGGCCTGGCTGGGTTAATGACTGAATTTACACACAGATCACCCACAATCCTCCTCTCCTCTGACCCTTCGGGTCATCGACAGCAGCAACCAACGGAGTAATCTCGCTAATTTAATACTGGGTGACAGGAACGCGTCTCGCTTGCCCACTGCGCCCAATCGGATCCCAGCGTTCGGTTTTCTAGCGAGCGAGCGTGACTTTTTACTGTCCCTTAGGTCGTATTGTGGCCGATAATGTTACAACAGCCCATCAACCTTGCTACAGGCTGGCAGGTAGGTTGCAGTCCTGAAAGGCTCACTCCACTTTTTGCAATTAAGCAATGAATGCAGTGCCATTGGATCAATGCGCATCTATTGCTTTATTGGCTGATGGGCCTTAAAGGAGAACTATGAGGCGGGTGCTTTTCACTCACCTCATAGTTGTAGCCGACCTGTGACAATGAGACTGTCACAAGTCGGCTCAGTAGATCGGGAGGTGAGCGAACACATACCGGCGTTCGCTCACCTCTCGATCCTGTCACAGCTCTCTGCCGTGACAGGGGAAGGGCTGGATTCCCCCCTCCCCGCTCCGATCCGCCAGCACTGACTGGCGGAACGGACGGGGGAGGGGGCGGGTACAGCTGGCTCTGCCTCTAGATAGGCAGAGCCAGCTGTCAGTCACACAGCTGGGCGGATCCCCGGCTCAATTGTCGGGATCCGCTTCAGCTGCAGCGTCTCAGTATACCGCGAGCAGTAGCTCCCTATATACTGAGCTTAGGGTGACGGGAGGACGCTAGTTTGTGTCCTCCCGTTACCCTAAGGAGAACTATGGGGAAAGCCCTAACCCCATAGTTCTCCTTTAAAGGAATTACTTGCATGGCCCCACCTGCAGTCATGCAATGAGGAACAATCCTCTTATTTTTGAGATATATGATGAAACGAGACATGTGAATTCCTTCCCATCTAAGAAGACTTTAATGCGCTGTGCACTGATTCGCTGGGAGGGCTATTTGATTCCTTACGTCTCTTCTCACTATAACCTGAATTGTTATTGCGCCCTGTTGGGTTCCAAGCCCTCCTCCATAGAAGTTTCCATACACTACACTGATGATGGCCAAGAAGCCCAAAACAGCTGTACCCAGTTTGGAATACAGGCCGCTATATCATTAGGCTATTTTTGCCCTATGTGCCAGCAGCTCTGAATGGTCATCTGGCTGATGGGTCATAAAGGGCTGATTTGGAAGACTCAGATTTACTGTCCTGAAATGAAGAACAATCCTTGACTTTTATGGGATATGTGATGGAATGAGATGTAAATACCTTCTGTTCTAAGAAGGCCTAAGATGCTCATTACCCGGGGAGCCTGAGTAAAGGAACAGCTGCTATTGACTCAAACACACATTAGTGACTCTGTATACTTTATTAAAGTAAGTATATATACCGTGTTTCCCGGTAAATAAGACAGTGTCTTATATTTTTTTTTCTACGAAAAAAGACACTAGGTCTTATTTTCGGGGGATGTCTTACCTGGCTTGGCTGCAGCTGTCCACTCTGCCGTCCAGGGAGCCACAGACAGGTGGGCGGGCGTGCGGGCGGGGCGTGCCTGGCGGGGGGGCTGGAGGGAGGGAGCTGCGGCTAGCGCTCTGATGCCGTCCAGGGAGCCGCTCTGGGTGCTCTGTCAGCCGATCCGAAGGCATTGTGGTCAGGATGATGAAGAGCCGCTCGGCTCAGTAATGGTTTGGTGGGCGGGCGAGCGGGTGGGGGCGTGCGTGCGGGGGGGGCGTGCCTGGCGGGAGGGAGCTGCGGCTAGCACTATCTTCAGGGATTTCTGTAATATGAGATCTACCACCGAACTAGGTCTTATTTTCGGGGTAGGTCTTATATTACAGAAACCCCTGAAGATAGTGCTAGGTCTTATTTTCGGGGAAACACGGTAGTATATACTCCTATATATATTTTTTAGATACATATTTTTGATAATTTGTCCATCACCAATAACGATAGAGAGCCGGAGGGAGGGCGTCCCTGCCTGACGGAAAGTCCTCTGTCTACATTCATCCACAGTCCTGTGTAGCTTCGCGATCAATGTCCTCCGGTCATTATCGCCAATAATTGCGTGCTTGTGTACCATCAGTAAGCGTGACACCACAGGGAGCTGTTGATGAGGGTCATCGAGGTGAAAAACAAAGCCTTTCACCAAATATCCCTAATGAGCAAAACGCAAGTGCATCGGTGTCAGTCCCCTCATTATCGGGTGACATTTGCGACTTGGAGCGACTTGAAGAGATAACGAGCGCGGGGGATTTTAAGTAGAGGAAGAGGGGACTTCTGACACTGAAAATGATTTCAAGTGAGGCCAAATGGTAAACAATTAGAGAGCGGAAATGTTGGACAATCCCTTAAAATGGAACCGCGTCAACATTCTTGGCTTTCTGATCGTAAAAAAAGCATACTGTGGCTCTCATGATGCTTGGATGCTTGCGACATTATTTCCTGCCAACAAGATTTAGACTTGTATAAAGAAGAATTCCAGTGATATACAATATTTGTAGGAGTCATGGGAGGGGGAACAATTATCATCTTGAGGACCTTTTTAGCAATGCCTTCTTTTCGGTCAATGTCCCTGACATCTTGGGGTTGATTTACTAACCTTTTAAACACACCACGAACGTGTATACACCTCTGTAGTGTGTTCCCTCCCAGCATGATCTATGGAAGGAATCGAAACACCTTTTGTAGTGTGTACACACCCAGCAGGTGTGTTGTGCAAAGCCCTGCATGAATTGCAAGGTGATGTTGTGTAAATTAGCTCTATGTTATGTTGCTTGCGTTGATGAATGCAGGAATGTAAATGCATGAGCTAACCATTGTTGTCTAAACTGTGAAGCAGCATTATATATGCATCATGTGCATGATTTTTCCATATATGGCATCAGCGGAAATATGCTTTTAGAGACTTTTTGGTTGATAAATACGTTTTGCTGTGTAAAAATCACACACACCTGGTGTGTGTGTGTGTTTTAGGTTAGTAAATCACCCCCCTTGACTTCTCTTGTAAATGTTAAGCTTAACCTCCAGTTTCTCTCATGTTCTCAGCCTTTCTGTTGGTCAAGGAGGCTGTCTTCTACAATAGAGAACCAATAGGGAGGCTAGGGAAGGGGTGTGGCCAAGCTAGAGTTTTACGGTCATGAAAATTTGCATATAACTCAAAGTGACATTAAATCCTCAGATTTTGTTAACATAAACCAATACTGTAATGTGCGCCTTACTGTAATCCATGGTTGTTTCCCTTCTCTTTGCTGCTCTTCCTTTTAAATCCTCATGTCTTCTCATGCTTGGGGAGAACTTCCCTTTGCAGCTCAGTGCCTCTTCCTGTAGTGCTGGCTCAGGTTGTGAACCTGCACACAGACACCATGTATCCATTCCAGAGACAAGGCAGTCTGCAGCAAACCAGAAGTTCTGCCCAGCATGAGAAGAGATAAGGATTTAAAAGGAAGAGCAGCAAAGAGAAGGGAAACAACCATGGATTACAGTAAGGCGCACATTACAGTATTGTTTTATGTAAAAAAATCTGAGGGTTTAATGTCACTTTAAGCTTCTTGTATCTCTGGATTTATTGTTTTGCTTTGACGTGGTTTCCTCTAAAGGTGACCTCTCGTATGCTCAATTTGAATTGCCCAGGGTTGTGAAGCTTGTGATCGATTCACGTGAATGTATAAGTGTAGAAAGATCAAAGTCTATCAACTTCAGTCCATTCTAAACCTTTATATCCAGAAGATGACAAAACAAAAACTCCAAGTGGGCGAGCCTACCATCTTCACACAAGTGACAAGGCCTTGCAATCAAAGGCCACTCTAGCCAGCGTCACTCTAGAGCAGGGGTAAGCAAACCCTGGCCCTTCAGCT